ATGATTTGATTCTAATCCTTAGGGGAGGGGGAGGTATCCAAAAACTGTATAAAATGTTATTAGTCTGCACTTTTTCGAGCTATAGTTAAAAAGAACCTTGTTACAAACTCGATCAATATGTATCGATATTGAAATGAAAATAATGAACTCGTTCTGAATACGGTTTGTATTTTTATATTTCCGAGATCGTTTCATTAACACATATTGGCATAGCTAGATTGACTAAGCTCGTCGTTCTGATCAAGAACAAAATTTCTATGGGGTCCGAGATGTTTCTTTTGCGTGCTAAACACAGTTATACAGATTAACAGTGTCGGTATAGCTGTGTCGATTGCCAGCCTGTCTGCCGGTCCTTCAGTCCGTCCGTCTATATTAACGCTCAAAATACATAAGAAACTTAGCTCCATCTAGTGTGCAAAAGGGTCGAGTTAAATTTCTTCATTTCATCGAAACTTGCCCCATGTCGGTATTCGTCGACATTCAAACCTGTTTTTGATCCTGCTATATGATAAGACCGTTGAAATCACATTAAAAAACGTATAGTTTTACACTTGCACCAACTGATAGCCCACTTTCTCTCCGTATCCCTCTCATAGCACCACCGATGGGTACTTCTTCACGAGGGGAAGGTGGCACTAAAGCCTCAACTAGATTTGATTATATCTGCAGCTGTGGTGCTAAGTAAGATAATCGCTTAGCAGATAATCTTTTACAGACGAAGTGACATGTTATGCGTCCTATATAGCTAGCGCACAGCGTCTGCTATATAAATAGGATCTAAAACACCCGTGTCCCGGTAGTAGTAAGTGTCAGTTTGAACGTGCCTTTTACTCATCCAAGACCGTAGGTCCGGGATCGAGTCCAGCTGTCATTTTCAGTAGCTCTCCGCTTCGCTGCCATGCGTTCATCGTGTCCGCCCGTCTTATAGTTTGGGGGCTGTTGCTCCGTACCTCCATAGCCAAAGGATCTCGGCAGTTTATTCCAGCCAGCATGCGTGCTGCATGCTCGAAAATATTACGGTAGGAACTTAGTTATCCTAGTGCGCAACGTCGGTATGCTACTTTTCAGCTTCGGCCGTAACGCGCCCAGACGGATGATCGACCTTACCACACTATAGACTAGCCACCTGCTCTTCTGTCGCGGCCAGGACGAAGACTTGATGGCTAGCTTCGATTGCTTGGAAAAGCTGTCGACGACTAGTACTGTCTCTGTCTTATATGCAGCCAGCGTGAGACAGTTAGTCGCGAGCCAAATGGCAAATTGTGTGTATTTGCCTATGTATATTGGTTGTTGAGTATGTGCCTATGTGCACTGGGAAGCTAGAATGTTTATAATTTCAGTTGGACGCTATCTTCTAGGTGACCATTTCCGAACACTTTTCCGTATACCCTGGCTAAGAAAATATATATAAAATTTTGTAAAAAATCACCAAATTCATAAGGCTTTATTAGAACGGTAAGCCGAGCCGATGAAGGCATCCTCGTCTGTTATCAGAGCAGAACACTTAAAATGTGAAACATATACTTCGACTTGTCATTTTGTTGTATATATATTTTTTCCGTTTCCATTTAAAGTAGATTTTAAATTAATTGTGTGAGCAAATCACGCAGAATTTGTCATGTTCTCGTATGATAGACACAGATCATAAATATTTCGCTCTGTCCGCCAAAATGAATAAAATGCAGTTTTTTGCTATATCCCTAATTATCTTACACACTTATTTATCGATGCCTTTTTGCCGTATTTGGGAGTTAATTAAATGTGGGAGAAAGAAAAAGGTCCACTTTATAAAGTAGCCAGTTGTGTATAAGACTTTTTGTGTATAAGACTTTTTTAACGGCGGCGTGCTGACGGCAGCACAAGAAAGAGGATGTCTTCTTCTAAGGCATTCCCTAATAGAGCATAGTCGAAATAATTGTGTTCGTAAAACCAATGCACATGACCATAAACAAATAATAGCGCCGAAGTTGAGTCTGCTCGACTACAAAAATTCTCTGTCCTTCTCAGTCAATACAATATTTTAAATATTTACCTCAGCTTTGATTATTTTTTTAAATCATAGAATATAGCCCAATGTGCATTCCAGATTGCTTATGCAGGAACTTATAGATTATTGGAAATTAAAAACTTCTAAGTTTGTATTCCGATATTCATGACATTTAAACGGTATGAAAATCATATTAAGTGTGTGTAATCCAAATCATTGGCGCTTTCTTTAAATGAACTGTTTAAATTTAGGAAGAATGGTGAAAAAATAGTGCAAAAAATTAAGTATTTCTATGCTATGCATACTATACAAAAGTCCACATACTAAATTTGGTATATCTAGTTCTTATAGTTTTTAAATTATTCTTCAAAACCGATTTTATCGAAATTTTGGCAATGGAACGAGATATCGACAAAACATTTTAAACTCGGCTTACGTGTTTTGTGCGAAGATATATACCATTTCAAATTTAAGTTTCTGGACTTTGTAGTTTCCGACAGATCATCGCCCTGGTCAAGAATATAAGTATATATGTCATTACGGGGTCAACAATGCTGAAACACTGCCTATAACATACATTTGCACAAAACTAATTTACCCTCATACCTATTTGCAATAAAATAAGCAAATAAATAAACAAAGTCAAATTTGTTTAATATTTAAAGGAATATCGAGGCATTAGTTTGCATACAACAGACAGACCGACGGAAAAGCGGGAGGACAGACATACCTAAATGGTTAAATCGATTAGGAAATGGATATTAAATATATCTACCTCATTTTAAAAATGATATGCATATATATTTTGTATATTTTATTGTATGTTTTGTTCAAAGTAGATGTGATTATCAGTTATACAATTTACCAATATTGCTGTGTTTGACGGTGTCTATATACCTGATAAAAAATCCCAATATATAATCGTTAGCTTAATGCTAGCGCACACTAGTGTGTACGACCTTATATACCGAGATAAAAATGTACATATAACGAGCTTAAGAAGTATATTATTTTAGTATATTTCATGGGGATAGTTCGATTTGAAAGCAATATATTCCTTTTACCCAGAGCTCATTAAGAATGGGTAAGCAATACAGAGAGAGGTTAGCAATTAGCAGATACCCTGAACCCAGCACAAATACATAGAGCTATGCTTTGGCCATCAATGATTTAAAATAAACTAAACTCTATATCCCAAGTCCGTAGTTCTTGTAAATATCGACGAACCTAGAGCAAGACAGATAGACGGACATGGCAAGAACGGATTTTGTTGCCAAGAATATGAAGACTGTATGTCGTCGTACATGCTTTCATTTATGTTTTCCGGTTTTCCTTGTTTTCCGACAAGGACAGTAGTCGTTACAGATATGCTTACTTGTGATTTCCCATTACTATCACCTTATTCCATCTACTTAACACTCTATATATCTATCATCTTTACTTTATAAACAACTTCTTATTTTTTTGTTTTCCTATTTATTGTATTTTCTGAAATAATATAGAAAATTAAGATTTTTTTAATTTTGTACACTTTTTTCTCTACTTCTTAGCAGTAGGCTCTAATAGAGTCACTGACAAAATTAGCTGTGAAAAGTGGCACAGTTGGCCGGACTGGTAAATAAAACCCCTACATCGGTCGGTGATGCTATTATAAAAGTGTGTACTCTAACTAGGCTTTTAGCATTAAATTTTCATTATGTATGTATAATGTATTGAAAAATTAGGAAGACACTCGTTTTGTTGACCATTAATAAATAAATAAATAATGAAAATAAGTAATATTCAAACTTTCTTCCATACATTTTCACCAAACTATTGAAAATGCGTTCTCGTATAGCTTCGATGTATATGACCCGATCCTTAAGAACAAGTATGTGTTTTTAATTATTAGACGAATAGAGAGGGTGTGCTTGCACAATATTGATTTAAGTAATTTTGCGAGCAGGTTGGGTTGTTTCGGCGGAAACGAGGGTGCAAAAGGTTTGTTTCGATCTTTGCAGAAAGCATTCCCTAATCTATAATGAAAATGTTGACTTGTATAATTTTTAATTATAGCCCTCCCTTAGTGGGCGTTATGTTATATACGAATAGACGGATAGCATGTCAAACACATCCAATCTGTTACTATTAACTTTATGAACATAATATAAGAATTACGTATTGTGACAGGATAATAATTAAAATAATAATATGGCATACATATTAAATGTGCTTCTATTTTATAAATCGAGAAGGTACATGTTTAATATGTGAATTTTATATTTTCGAACAAGAACTCATACATATGTGTTGTGTCCTACACTACTCCAGCTGTAAATAAAACTTCAAACATCACAGTTACATAATAGTTTATTTAACCTTATGACATATTTCAAAACAAGACTATTTTAATCTAGATTGAATTTATTGAAGCGCTGCAATGTGTTTAAGAAGAGAAGCAAACTTAAGAAAATCTCATAATAAAAGAATAACAAATTATTGATCCTAATTGAACTGATAGAATTTGAGAAAAAAAAAGTTTTAGTTAACAATTTTTTAGTTTGAAAAGGTTGCGTTGTTAAGTATTATTGTATGAATGTATCTGCTCTTATGTGGATAAATACTAAGTTAATTTATACTTTGCTCGAGTAACTTCTATGGAGGCTATGAATAAATTCGATGCTGAGAGGTCGTCCTTGAATCGCATTGAGTTCTGAAAATCGCTGCGGTGGAGCCCTTAATACTGGCCGACGGTACTTACCAAACAAAATCGAATCTAAGAAATGACTAAAACAAAAGCAAGATAAAAAATAAAAATAAGAATTTTAAGAGACAACCACGTGTATCTACCGATTTAGCTGAATGCTTGAGACAATGACGAGAATAATCTGTGACTGTTTTCATATTTGGTAACTTAACGAACAAATAAAATCAAGTGGAACTCGGATTCAGTAAAGAGGAAAAAAAAGTACATAGAATACTAATCGGTATTTGAAATTGTGTATATTTTTGCATTTATCTTTTTGCAATTTTATATTTTATTCACAATAATTAACTTTTTAAAAAAGAGAATTGCTAATGCTATGTAAAAATTTACTAAACAAACTATAATCGAACATAAGCATAAACATAACCGACTTTAGACTACAACTTATGAAAAAGGTGTGAAAGAATAATAATACAAGAACTAGGATAAAGCAATTGGCGAAATAATTTCATTAATAAGTAAGTATGTATGTATAGGCATACGATATTATACATATATGCATGTATATGATACAATATATAATGTATGAAGCAAAACATTAACAAAAATTCGATAATTACACAACATAACTGAACTTAGATGTAATATCAGGATTAAGCTGAGTCGATACACATAAAATATATGTCTGCATATGTGCCTTATTCATATGTATGTACTATATATAAGTACTGTAAATAGCTTTAAGGTATGTATTGTAAATTAATTGTTGCTCAACTTCTTTTGATGCCACTTATATTTCTTACAAGTATTATTAAAATGTATTTCTTCTTTAGTTTTTCTTTCTTTTTGTTTAGGTTTAGATTAGGGTTTAAGGTTTAGTTTTAACTTTAGCTTTACGTGCACTATTTTGTTTTTGTTTTTTTTCAGATCAAAAGCGCCAATAACTATGAAGTAAATTTGCACACACATCAAAAAACTTTTGATTTACAATTTATACTCGTAATAAAATGAATTCGACATCTGTATTTTAAATTGCTAGTTTCATATGTTTTTAGATTTTTACTTGTTTTTTTTTTTTTTTTTTTCATTAAGTTTTTATGTATCAAGTTTTCATTTCGTTTTTCATTTAACTCACAAAACACAAACGGTTTCACTAACTTTGCGCGTGCTTTCATTTTGTGATTTAATGTCTTAGTTTATATACAGGAACTTAATATTTATCTAAGAACACGACACAACGAACAATATAATGACAAAATTTATGCTAAGTATAATTCCGGCGCTGTCTAACTGCATTGCGGTGTGTTTGTGTTTGGGTGTGTGTGTGTGTGTATGCAAATGTATATTTCTGTTTTTCTGCATGTGTGTGTGTGTCTATCTATGTGTTTGTGTACATGCTTTGTGGCTACTAGTTTGTCTGTGAAAATTGTTAAACAATTTATTAGTTCCACATTAAGAACATATTTCTGGGGCTACAATGTGCTTGATCTTCAATTTAACCTGCACTTACATTTAGAATCTACTACTCGAATTGTTTCTGTATTCATAATTAATATGGATAGTACATATGCATATAATATTTATTGTTGAAAATTAATAAGTATGCGCGTTCATTAATGAGAGAGTTAAGAGAAATACATAAACAAATATACATATTTCCGATTCTGTTTACTATATGCTTTATGCAGCTAACTGTCTATCGCATTCAACTACCGCACCCAGCTTTAATAGACGGGGTAATTTACATTTGATTTGCTTGTTTATAGATATTTGAAGAACGGACTTATTTATTAATTGTAATTCATTAAACATACATTTTCAACTCCCCTTGGCCTGGTCTGCCAAAGATTTAAACTTTGAAAACAGCGACACCAACTCTTGAACTGGGCAGCCTGCCTCCTCTTCATCCACTTCAACCTCCTCCACTTACACTCCAACCTCGCCTCCAAGAACATTTTCGGGTCAGTCAGTACAAGCCCGTGTTTTGTTTGGGATACGCATGCATACATGTGTGTATATATATGTATTTGTACTGCTTGGACTCATCGTTCAACTAACATGGAAAATCCAATATCATCTCATTTTTAATTGGATTGATGTTTGTATTTGTATTAAGATTGGGGTCCGGCTGTGGATGGGGATTCGGATTGGGATTGGCTAAATGCTAGTAGGTGGCAAAGCCCATAGCGCCAGCGTTGCTGTTGTCCAAAGGTCACTGGTGCATTTTTGTGGCATGGTGGCCCATGCTCAGGCCCAAGTTTAAGTGATGGTTGTTGTGGTGCTGCTGTGCCGCCTGGGCATGGTTGTGATTGCTGCTGGAGTTGTTGTTATTATTCTGCTGAGTGGCCTGTCGCTGCGAGTTCTTCTTGTTCTTCATGCGACGATTTTGAAACCAAATCTTAACCTAAACACACGTAACAAAGTTGAAAATGAAGATTTAGCTAGGTTAGGTTATTTCAACTGATGTACACTCTCCACATACCTGACGCTCTGTCAACTGCAGATTGCGAGCTAACTCCCAGCGTTTCTGTTTGGACACGTACGCATTGAAGAGAAACTCCTTCTCTAGCTCCAGTGTCTGAAACTTTGAGTACGGCTTGCGCTTTTTTCGCACCGACACCTGTCCGGTCCACTCGTGCATCGCATTTGTCGGCGTGCAAGGACCCACTGCACCAACCGAAAGACCACCAGACGTCCCTAGAGTCAAATGAAACCAGATTAACTATTAAGTAACAAGTCTCAACAAAGTGTGCTCGCAGCTCTGTGATTAATTTCTATAGCTGTGTCAGTTATTGACTTGTTCAAATTGAGAAAATATTGTATATTACAAGAAAATATCCGTATGTAGTTTATAGATGCTACCAAAACAAACAAAGCAGGTAAATAATGAAAAACACAACGTTAATTTATTTACACTTTCTAATCAAATTTGGGTGCATATCTATTGTAGCTATTCGTCTATTCTTAATAAAGTAAGTAAATACTATTTATGAATATACTACGATAAATTATAATTTCGTATTTTTATGCTGTGTGCTGGTAATTAAATGCTCGATTATCCAACCCAAGAGGGTTCTTTTGGAGTAACACCCTACACTTAGGGTAGGCAGTGATTGTTATTGTGTAGTGGCACACCCAATAACAGGAGCACAACCTCGGCTGAATGTCGCAAATAAATTTATGAGGTATTTTGCAATACGCTAATTAAACGGCAAACTTGACAGTGTCGCAATTTGCATTTTGCCTTTTTCGTAGCGAGCAGAGGCAACAACAACAATAACAACATCTATTCGAACAGCGATAACGACAGAGATCTGTAGGCAATTGGAAATGCCTGCGACTTACCTGTGCTCGAGTAGGCCTCGGGGAAGGCGCGAAGCCCACCTGGGGAGGAGTAAGTGGGTGTCTCGTAGCTGGACTGAGAGGTGCCTTCCACGGACTGGCGCGCCGCTGCTGCCGCGCTGACTGATGCATGGCGCTCGTCGGTGGCGCTCATGTAGGCCGCCGCTGCAGCGGAGGTCGGCTGATCACGGTAGTTGGGCCAATATGCAGGCTGCTTGTCGAACGTGGGCGAATGGGGCAATGGGGAAAAAAGGCAAGCGTAAAGTTGACATTGAGTTGTTTACGAGACGGCAGTCGAGTCTGGTGAGACTGGCGCGCGATTCGAGCCGGATAGAACGTAGTTGTCGGCCTCGTGTACTCACCTGAAACTGGGTCTCTGGGTAACCGTAAAACATGGGCTTGCGATCCCGATCGAGATAGTATGGCGAGGCATGGTACTGGTTGAACTCGTTGTCGTAGGGCCAGGGATGCGCGTGCCGCTTAACGGGCGTCGCAGAGTCCGTTTCGAAGCCGGGCCTGATCGCGGGTATATGTATTGGCGCTAATGAGATGGACATATCTAGAAAAAACAACAGAGAAATATTCGCGTTATTGACGAGCTGTCATATGAAACAACTTAACGAACGTATTCGTTCCTCATTACGCTCCTAAACACTTTCTGTACAAATATAGTTAATACTTGAGACAGAGTGTGGTAGAATTACTCATAATCTTACAGTACCATTTAAATAAGTTTACCAACAAGTTATAACCATAAGCCCAGCGATATTATGTAACCAAAGACACACAACTGGCTTATAAGGCACCAACGACCTTAGAAGATGCTAAGTAAACAAAAAATATACTGGCTAAAGACTGGCTAATAGACTGCTGACATAAGCAATCTAATTTACTAGCTCTATAGAATTCTGAAAATTAAATATTGACAATATTAAAATCAAAGAATGCCCTAGTTGGGCGCGCCCAACTATGAGATACCTCGATCTGAGCGACGAGGTACCGATGCAACATTCCAACTTACTATGTATATATCCACATACTAAAAAACACACAAGTACACACTTAACACATTCACACACACTTTACGACTATGCTTCTTCATTCCTTAGGTCGACACTATGGAACCATTGTCCGATCCTTATAAAATTTCCATGGCATAAATAGATCTACAAATGCATTGTTTATGATTGTGGGGGAAACCAAGCAAGGGGTGAAATATCTGTGTATACTATACCAGAAAGTACATTCTAAATTTGGTTACACCATCTCTTATAAGCTCCGAGATATAATCGAAAAACTTGATATCTTTCTTTCATGGAAGCGGGTCAATTTATACTTGATTTGAAACGAGCTCGATCTGACCAACGCTCAAAACTCGAAATACCCAGCTCTTATAATTTCCGAGATGGTCAAGCCTGTCTGACTGACATGCCTTGATCAACTCGGCGGTCGATGCTAATCAAGAATATATATACTTATGGGGTCGGAGAAGCCTGCGACTGTCTGCTTGAAAAAAACCTTTTACTTTCTTTAGTTGCTGTCAATGGTATGCAGTTCTGAGTGCCCGACTAGGAGATACCCTGAACCGATGATTTAAAAAAAAACCTTATAATATTTATCAATATTTTGAATAAAATGGAAGGACATATTCAACAACTGCAATTGGGTTCTGCGCATGGTATATGATAATTTAAAATAAAGAATCTAAATCTCTTGTTTTGCCCAGATGAACAGTCATGCACACGGATGGATACACGGGTAAGTGTAGATCGACTCGGATTTTCGTCCTGATCAAGAAAATAAATACTTATTGGGATCGAAGATGCTTCCATCTGCCTGCTACATACATTTACATAGAATTTACTGATATTTTACAAATAATACTATGAATATTAAAAATAATAATAACATAAAAAAAAATAGTAATAGTACTAATAATATTGAATAACAAATAATAATAATATTTGTAACCAGTCTTATACAATAGTTAATAGCTCGGCATCCAGGTGAATTATATTAAGAAAAAGCTTATAGAAGTCATTCATTTCCAATTCTTAATGGATCATATATTTAGGAAAGTCTCAAGGGACCTTTGACTTTTCTCGTATGTAAGCAGATCGTAAAGTTTATGCTTGTAAGTTATACGCAAGTTCCTAGCTTATATAGTAAATGGGAGCTTTGGATTTCTTAGAGTGGATAGTGCATAAGGTAGCATAATCGAAAGGCAACTCGAAACGGTAAACGTGAACTTTTCGACTGCTCACCTGCTTGCTGAGAACTGACACTGGAGGGAGAGACACTCGCCGTTGTTGGCGCAACAATTTGACTTTGGGCTGACGCCACCACCGAGTTTTGTTGTTGCTGTTGTTGTTGTTGTTGTTGCTGTTGGAGACTTGAGGAGGCGCCACTAGAGACGCTATTAGGCGTCTGTTGTTGCTGTTGTTGCTGCTGCTGCTGTTGTTGCTGTTGTTGTTGTTGTTGCTGGTGATGAGGTGATGTGAGGTGCTGGGTTTGCTGTGCGGTGGGGCCAGTCGGCGTCTGGGCGGGACTAAGGGCACTGCCAACGGGTGTGGTTGTAATCTGTTGTTGCTGCTGTTGCTGTTGCTGCTGTGGCGGGGGCAGATGCTGAAGGGGCGGCTGTTGCTGCTGCTGCACGGGCACAATTGGCACGGGTGGGGGATCCTCATACATAACTGCATGCGTGGGTGTGGAATGTGTTGTGGGCGTCGTCTGTTGCTGCTGCTGGAGCACAGAGGTTGGCGTGGACAATCCAACCGAGGCGGACGACACAACCGTGTGCTGCAGGTGATGATGCAAAGGCTGGGTCTGAGGCAGGTGGTGGTGGTGGTGCGGATGGTGATGCAGTTGCTGCAGATGCTGCGCGGACTGTTGTAATTGCTGTTGCTGAAGCTGGTGTTGTTGCTGCTGCTGCTGTTGCTGCTGTTGCTGGTGGTGCAACGCGACCGCCGAGGCGCCAGTCGTCGAGGTGGGGTGGGGGTGCGGATGTGGATGTGTATGATGTGGCCCCCACCAAGCCCCGGCAGCGGCGTGCGACCCGACTGCCGAGACATCGTGGGGGTCGTAAAGAGCGCACGCCAGCGGGATGGTTGGGGTTTGGGGGAGGGGTGGAATATTTACGGTTATTTTGAATGCGGTTCAGTCAGTCGGCGGGAACAAAAGGCACTGATAACACACCGAACACACCAAGCGGGACGCGGCCCAGGACCACCGAACAATTATTCCTTTATTCCTTTATTTCTTAGTTGATTTCTTATTTTGTTCGCAAATATATTTTATTATTTTCAGCGCATGTAAATTTAATTTAAATCAATTATTTTACGATAATTAAGCTTGATTGCTGCGTTTTGGTTTGATTTTATTTGCAGTCATATGAAAACAGTTTTTTACGACTACAGCAGTCGTTGGTGTACTCACGCACACGCACGCACACACGCACGCAACACTCAAAGCTAAGTGAGTGCGCTACGTGTGAAGGAGAGCCGCAGAGTGAAGAGCGTCACTGGGCGGGTGAAGAGAGCGCGAATTGCATAAATACCACCCACAGTTGCCGTTGGTTAGGCGAGCGTTTCGATCGAAACCAAGTCAGAGAGATACGAGCACAGGGTGACTATGGTGTTCAGAACTCGCACAAATGTTTTCAAATTGGGCTTCTTTTTAGTTGGTTAATTCGACAAAGTTTCATTTCATTTTTTTTTTTTTGTAAAAATCAAACAACATACTATATATCTGATTCCTTCTTTTATATATATGTTCAAGATTTTTCTTCACTTCTTATCACTGCAGTGCAAGTTTCTTTTACAATAGGCCTCGTTTTGTTCACTCTTCAAACTTGTTATTATTGCATTGTTTTTTATAAGTTGCTTAAGGCCGGCACAAATGGCGCGCGAAATTTTTAGTGCGTGAGAGTGAGTATAAGTTGTGTGGTTGAGTTTTTATTTGTTTCTTTTTTTTTTGTTGTTTTTTATGTTGCTGGTCATAAAATTTGATTTTACGATCAAAACAAACAATTAAACTCGGCGCTCGCAACAGTGAAAAAACTGTATATATAATAGCACATTATTTTAATTTTATTATTCATATTATTGTAGTGTTAAAGATTCCTTATTGCACGAATTTTTTGAAGCGCACCGCTAAAACGCTTTAAGCAGTGTTTCAAAGCGAGAAACAAATGTGTCTAAGTCAAAGTTCTCGATGTAGAAGTGGCTACTTGGATACTCTGGTCGCAATTGTTGTTGCCGTTGCCTTTGAAACGCCCGCACGCCTTCAACCGTACAGAGCGAAGCACAAATCTACACTGACAACGTCAGCGAAAACGGCGACAACCAGCAGAGGCAGAGGCAGCAACAGCAGCAGAAGCCCAAGCGGTGGAGTCTTGGTGTCGACTCTCACTCTCACAAAACAAACGACAGACGACGGCGGACGGCGGACGTTGGCAAGAGTCAGTCAGAGTCAAGATGTGAACAAAAGGCATTCGATACGTGTGCCTGACAGCGCGGCGCCTTGTGTCCGTGTGCCCAAGAGAGCCTCGCGCATGCGCACGCTCAAGACTGTGAGCGTCGGAGCCAAACAGTGTACGTGTATGGTGGTGGTGTGTTGTCAGTCGCTCTCTTTGCGGCGCGCGTTATGCACACGCACGGTATGTGTGTGAACATGAATATGCGCACGCTTGTATATGTGCACATGTACAGACGTACGTGTGTCCCCATGCAAGACTTTAAGAGAGCTTGGCCGCCAACTTAAAAAACAACTTAAAAATATATGATTTTTCAGAATTGTTGGTTTTATTTTTTTTTACTTAGATCATGGATGAAAAATCAAAATCGATTACAATCAGTTGCGTCTTTAGCAGGTGTACTGCAAAGAGGACGTCGGCATCCCAGCACAAACGCATACATGCACACACATACACTGTACATGTACATCTCTGCATTTGTTTGCTCTTTTCATATTGCTCTCTCTCTCCCTCTGTATCTTGTTGTCTCTCTCTCGCTCTTTAGCTTCTACTCTTTCTAGTGTGTGCCACAGCAACAACAAAGTGCTTCTAGCTGTTTGGGGCTGATTTAAATATATATATATTTAACGCTGCCGCACAGCAGCGCCATCTATGGCCGAGATTTCAATGGGAATGGACTGGGGTGGCCCCCACGACATTGTTTTTGTTGGAGTGCGATGTTTTTTTGGCGGTCCTACAACAAAAGCAACGGCAACAAAAAAACAACTATACAACAAACATTTAAGGCGACTTCGATTCGAACTTTATAATGTACACACGCAACATACCACAGCAGTAAAACAACCCCTTTCTAGGCGCTAATTAATCAAAATGAGCTAAATAAATATATACATATACACAGTAATTTATGACAGCAGACAAATTGAGACAATTGCCATGCCTTTGCCACTTACCCTCGCATAAGAAGCAATATCTACGGGTCCATGCACGGCTCGTTTCGTTTCATCCCGACCCGACCCGACCCATTCGACAACTGCCGAATTTAACTCTAGACAATTATGAGTATTTTACGACAATTTCTATTGGAAGAAAGCGGCTCTAATACTTGTAAGGGCGGGGAAATGTTGAGAATGATAGGATACAAATTTCCCATAAACACACGCACACGCACACACAGGCAGACACACACACAAATCAGTCGAGGATAATAGAAGACTTAATACCCTTAGAGATGTACCTATTTAACGTCTTTTCCAATAATGGCGAGCGGTATTAATTGCTAAGTTATCTAATTTAATAAAGACATGATATAAAAATAAACTAACTTTGCATACAACATGACAAAGCATGCCTTTGCAAGGATCAAATTGTTAGAATCTGAACGTTCCAGGATATATACAGATTTAAAGAAACGGGTCAAATTACTAAACCATTTAGAAGGCTACTAATGGGATTTCGATGTAGCCCAAAGCGTGCATATTCTGACTCTCATCATTTCTGGACTGTAGTGGATCTTACTTGTACTTACTTCTATGTTATTATTACAGCACTTACAGCACTCGAAACTCAAGTCGAGGCGTAAAAGTTCTTATGATGAAAAGGGGCAAGTGCTTACCTGGTGGCTGGGAGCTGATGCTGGAGGGGGAGACACTCGCCGCTATCGGCGCAACAATATGGCTTTGGCTGGACGCCACTGCTGTGATTGACTCCCGTTGACGCTGCTACCGTTGACGGAATTAGTGTGATCTCGTTAGATGTTGCTGCCACAATTAACGTGAGCAGGGCTGAAAAGAGAGAGAGAATGTTGAATATTGGAAGTAATATCGGGAGTAGACAATGCCACCACTGCGATATATTGCAGGCGCCGCTTGACGTTAATTTTTGCCGCACACTTAAGGGTTAAGACACCAGCAACGTGGCAGCAATGTTTCCGTCCTTGCGCCTGTCCAGAGAGGTCATCTTACGAGTTTATGGCTGGCGCAAACGTCTTGTTTGTGTTTGACACCCGGCAGGTAATAATGCATTCGGACCAGACGGAGTTGCTACTGCCGCGACAGCCAACCAGGGCGCAGAGCACGGGGTGCATGGTGTCTGGACGGCCTGGAGGGCGGAAGTGAGCAACGACCTAGGCAAACATACAGACAGCAAGACAGAGGGACAGACAAACAGACAGCCGTCAAACACGTCGTAAAATTTGTTTCCTCGTTTCGCATTTGCATTGTGCAATAGTTGGCTCACACTTCAACGTCAACTTCCACTTCCCAATGCTGTTGTCGCTATTGTTGTTGTTATTGTTGTTGCTGTTATTGCCGTGTGCATTGCCTTGAGCTGTGTTTGGGGTCAAAGTCAACTCTATTTGTACTTCCAACCGCCCAACTGCTTACTTCACTTACATACAAAAGCAAATCAATACATATTAGCATCTGTACATACAGCAAAATGAAATGCTGTCGCAAAATTTGAATAGGAATAACTTTTTAAGATACTATCCCTATAATGAAGAAGACTTTTTCTGACTTATTTAAACTGTTTTAATACAGAATTGCCCAGGTAGTAAGGTATTGCCCAGTCTGTCGCATTTCATGTTAAAATAAGCAATATTATGTAAAAACTTTTTGGTTAACAAAATTTGTATATGAAAAAAAAAAAACATAAGCGCTTGAGCGCCAACCTAAACATTTATCTTGCCACATTTGGTGGCAGTCTATTTAGGGACATGGATCAAATACAGATTTAATTCAAATTTGTATTAATGATTCTCCTGCTTTAAAGAGAGTAAGGGGAACTATACAATTAGATTTCGGTGTTAGATGCAGTTTTTAGATAATATAGATAATATAGAGTTTTGGTGACTGGAAAATCTAGTTTTAAAACCGAAAATTAAGGCGAAGAATTAGTTTGAAATGTGAACCGATCTACCGACTTTTTTTTAGCAGCCATGGTATAATTACGTTAGTTCACGTTGTTTACTTACAGAATATAAATTGACAACTTTTATAAAATGAAGATCCTTTTTAGATGTGTATGTGTGTGTATGTGCACATACATGTCTTATTATTTTATTGCTTTACGCTTAAAAAGTTGTAATTATTAGTCAACAACAATGAAGCCTTTCAATCGCGGGTTTTCTCTTGTAGTCTGAAAAAAGGCGCTCACAAAAAAAAAAAAGAAAATATTCAAACAAAGAATGAAGGGAACGCAATAAAAAGAGTTTCTTTCATATTTAACGATGCTCCTATTTGAATAAGTTAATTAACAGAATTAATATTCAAATGGGTTTATGGCCGCAATGGAGGCTTATGGCTTCATTATGTATGTTGACCCGCTCCGACTAAAAAATTCGAATTCAAACAACTATAAACCTACCACGAAAACAAGTATGATCATTTGAAATAAATTCACATGCAATATGACGAAGAAGCAGCAGACACAGAATTCCCGTAGAAACAGGCGGCAGCCAATAGTTAAACAAACACAATAGTTATGGTGAGAGAAAAGTTCATTGGCATTTACTATCATAAAAAAGCAGACGAGACAAAAACAAAAATCGGGTTTTTGGTGGTCTGTTAGATGCTGCGAACGAATTAAATGAAATTTGTGTTATCCAATTAGACACATCACTACTCAGTGCCGGGCAGCACCTCCGGCTAAGGGGGCCTAGTCGCCAGCGCCGTCCCAGTCACATTCCCTATCCCAAAACTAAACGATCTTTTTCCCAGCTAATTATGAGACTCCGCGACTTTGGCTGTCCCTAGCGTCTGCAGCTGCCCAATGGGAGCGATGCTTTTTTAATTGCCTTGAATTTCTTTATTCCCAGAACCCTTTTGGCTTAAATTGTTTTCCGTGTAAGGCGCACAACGAGTAGAAACCGAAGAATCTAGATAAGCCATACAGCTTGGAAACTGTGCAAACAGAGATCAAAATTACCGTCTTGGGCCGTGGAAGAAAAATCTTGTGGTTTTTCTGGTTCCAGTTCGGAATGAGTAGTCGCAGTCGAAGTCGGAGGTGAAGTCAGAGGCAATATGGGACCCAGTCTTAAATAACATGCGGAGAAACCAACGCATTCGCTGGGCCAGGGCATCGAACAAGTTTCTCGCTTTGCCTTTTCAATCCTGTTTTTATGAAAATGAAAAACTTGCTCCAGCCGGGTATGGGCAATTGGTATTCATAAGAAAAAAGCCAGCTTGCTTCAAGAACGAAAAACAACACAATTCGACGCCAGTCGAAAGGAAACACACACAAACCCACATGTTCCACATTCAGAAGAAAGAGAAGCACAGAACCGAAAAGGGATGAACACGAAGATACAGAGAAATGTGGAATATCGTACTGACAGCTACGATGCGAGACATTTTGTTGAAATATTAAAGAGGTGGAGGCACCTTTGAAATCTTTAAGATACAATTCTAGAGCATATGTTGTTACAACTCAGATTCTGTCAGGCGAAGCATTGTCGTTTATGTGACAAGCTGCATTAAAATGGCGACAGCCCCTTAAACAATTCCCGGGTTCCCATTTCACGTTTTGTCTTTGTGCAGTCGTGTCAGTTCTCTTCAGTTGTCAATTCTTGTCTTACTGTTTAGTGTAGCCTTTGTCCTGCCTATTTTTGATAATGTATAAAATTCTATTGTAGAATGCCAACTAATTTTGAAAAACATCCCTAATTATAATCCTTGCGTCGTTTAGAGTTCAGTTAGAACTAATTTACTGTTTACTAATTTACTTTTACATATGTATGCAAACAACATCGGGAAAACACTAATACACATAATTTATTTTTTAAAACTTTCTGTATCTCTAAGGAAAATTAAATTTGGCGGTAGTTTAACAAGCAAGCTTTCTATAGTATCAAAAAGGCGGTTAGTGACAGCGAATGAAGAGCAATACGATTTATTATTAATAACTTTCATATCGTATCAAGAATGGGAACTTACCCATTCTCATAATTAAAATCAAAGGTTAAATTGAATGCGTCTGTTATTATTAACAAACATTATTCAGCATTAAAGTTTTAATAACTGATTATAAATAGAGTATAATATAAACCTTTAATATTATTTGAATATTTCCAGTTGGAGGATTCAAACAACGGATTTAGAAGATTGACATATATTATTACAGGTCCTTAAATCTCGAGTTAAGTGAACTATCTTAAATGTTCCAATAAAAAATACGTTGAAAGATTGTTGTATCAGTCATCTTTTATAATTGTTAGCTTAATATATGTAAATTTTATGGCATTTGATTTATGATGTGTTACAGTAAAAGATTTTAATGTCTATTTATGCTGGACAGTTAACTTCAATTGAGCAATTAGAGAGCAAGTTAAAGCACCTGAAAAATTCCGTGTCCGTGTCTATCTGTTCCTATACCTTTTGCAACGTAGTTTTAGTAGCTGTTGCTCTTGTTTACTGTGTACTTAAACAATATTTTAGTACAATAAATCTAGCTAGTTAACTGCTTTTATTGCCAGCAAAGCGTTTTACGACAAGCAAACAGACGTACAGGGTGCGCCAGCGGAGCAGGGGCAGAGGCAGGGGCAGGGGTTGACAATCAGCATGAGCCGCAACTCTTTGAGTGAGTCGCATGCAACAAGTAATTGTATGTAGATTGTATTATATATTCTAATAAAAAGTGAAATAGAAATAAACACCCCTTATATTAAAACAACACTTTTTCGCTTAATGGCGCAGTAAGCCGATCCCATGGAAATGCAAATAAAACTGAATTGTGAATGCTTCTAAGAACGAAATTAAGTCGCCTTCAGTTATTCGCTACCATCAAAGGAAATGGGCCCCGAACTTTTACATAAATATCAATCAAATCCCTTTGCCAGTGCCATATTGGAGTCGGCCCATGCGAGTCATTCGTCTTTCACAATGATTTCCAACGACCTTCGGCCATATAAAATAATTCATTATACTTAGTCCACACGTCGTAGTCTGGGGCGCGGAAGCTAGCAGAGGCGAGCACCACAGTCGCAACCATAAAAATTGGCACACTTATTGTCAAATCGAGCTTTAAGTTTCATCTCAGTTTTAATATGATCTGTTATGCTCCATTTTGGGCTGTCGGCTTAAAGGAGAATTCAAAGTCCATGCACTGACTCTTGTACCCTTTGCCGCTTGGGCCATTTGCCCATTAAGCTCGATTAATATGCTGAATCTGTTGAACATGGAACACAAGCGAGTTGCCGTACCGTCGTTTAATGGCTAATCTTGAAGCATCTATTGGCATACAAATTGCCATCAAGAGGTTTCCGAACAGAGCATTAGATTCCCACGCTTCCCGTGTGCATTTATTAAGTTGTGGTGCTTACAATGGAAATGTACTCTAAATAAATTAGTTAAATAATAAAGAATACAAATTATAAAAAAGTTACTAAAACCTGCGTCAATCTTCATCTTAACCTGATACAATTCTTCATTATTAAAGAAATTGATTATAATCAATGAATAAAATTATAAAAACAGCAAAAAACAGAAGAATAGGGAAATGCGTATTGAAATTGAAGTGAAACATTTATCATTGGAATAAGTGTGGAAAAGTGTGTTAGCTCTTTAATTAACAATATCTGCTTTGTTAGTTTTTAGTTTTGTTTATGGCCAGTGGCCGAAGGTGTTAATTAGCCTCATTCAGTTTAACAAGATGTTAATTTCACGTTTATGGGCATTAAATTGGACACCAGTTAGACTTCGAATACCCATCTGCAGATTGTTATGCTGTGCAGACCTTAGGTCGTCGCATCTCAGTTTCATTACACCTCCAAATTACTGCACTCGTGTAAATGTGTGATAAATTATGGGAACACGAGATGCAAAGTATGCCAGACGAAACAAATGCCATTCAGATTTTATGGCAAATTAATTGTCGTATACCCGAAACCAAATATGAACAGCGAGCTTATCGGTGGACTAGAATATTGTGTGTCAAAAGCATGTTAATATTCAAATCTGTAGATAAAGACCAAATATTATATGTCAAATTAACGAAACAATTTCAGTTGTATTTTAGCTTTAAAATTGTTAAAGATTGCCCAACAAAATATTCTCGACTTTATTCAAAAATCCTCACTAAGCTGAAAATACGAAGCCGGAGCCGGGGAACACATAAAACTCATTTTGCCAAAATAAGTGAAATCATCAATTTTGTGTTTGTGCGTGTGTTTTTCTTTTCTTCTTCTAGTGTATTCTATGGGTCTGGTTAGAGAACCAGAGGAACATCAACTTTCTCGGCATTTTCTTATCTTGCACAGCGGGGGATGGAAACTTTGTTGCTTTTACTTTGTTTTGTGAGTTCGTAAGGGAACCCTGGGGGACTCTGCCTTCCTTTCAAAGAGGCCAGCACAAAGCGACTAGCTCATTTACATAAGCATAATTTACACATAGAGTAGTTACATAGCCAAATAGCTTTCAATGATATACACCCACGCATACATATACACATTTAGCGAGGCCAACTTCTATTGCTCGTTTTAGACACACACACAGCCACCCACACACATCAACATGGCTGCCCCGTTCCGTCAGCAGCAACAGAAGCAACAACAGCAGCCAAAGTCAGCAAAATATTTATTCAAATAGCATGTGCCTCCCTTCTTGCGTTTCCAGCTCCGTGGACGTCTCCCTAAAGGTTAATTTCAGCTGTGCTGTATCGACGTGGAGGCCACTGGCAACCCCCGCATGTCCAACCCCTGCCCTGCCCTTGTGATGACGCCAACAGCGACGCCGCTGCTGAATACTAGAACTGAACAACCCCGACAAGCGACGGGTAACCGCGATAAGCAAAGTCAAAAGCATTCAAAGATTTCAGAAAATGGAAAATGGAGGGGCGTGGGGGATAAAAATGGCATGGCCGCTCAAGTTCAGCCGAACAAGCGATAGCCAACAGCAACCCCCAGAAAATCTATCGAGCTGTCGAACAGCCGACGGTATTCAGCCGAGCTGGAAAACACTTTTGCTGACGCTGTCGCTCGAGCATACAAACACAGATACATACACAGATACATACCCAGCGTAGCTTAGTATACAACCCCAATGGGACAGTGGGTGGAGAGGGTGGAGAGGGCCAGGACGAAGAACGAGCTGTTCGCCTGTTTTGTTCGGTTTGCTGAACGCGCGTGCTGGTTGCCATAATATCGATCCCTCTTGGGTCGTTGCCTTCACTCAATGAGTTCTCAATTTACTGTGGCCTTCCTCGCCCCCTGGCCACACCCGTTTCCTCGTTGCCCCGTTGCCCCGTGCCTCGTGTACAGATTTCGTATCTATAGATACACGCAAAGTTGGCGCTCGCACACTCGTTACAGTAATCGAGATTCACACACACCACGGTATGTGCACATATGTATGTGTTTAAATGTAAATACAAACGTATAATGTGCAATATCCAGAAAGGTTATATATGGTTATAAACAAATGAAATAAATGTATACCATTGTGTTGTTGCTTATAACGCAGACAGAACCGCATTCCTGAATATCATGAATACGCGAGTGCATAAGAAAGAGATTTCAACTTCGAGTTCGAAATTCTTTTGGATGCGTTACCATTGGCAGTCTTTTAAAGTCAGAGCGTCGTTTTCGTTGACATTATTAATTGAATTATAAATTTTCCATTTTAATATTGTATCTGTCCACGTTTGTTGCTTTCTGTTGATGTTGTCTCGCTGTTTCCCCCTCCCAACTTCTGCAAGGCGCTACGTGATATGCCTTCGAGTTCCTAGAATTTTGGCTGAGTAAGATGACGAGGACCCCAAGCTAATTTTCATTTGGGCACATGTGAAGTTGAAGAGGCGAATCGCTGAACAATGGGAAGAATTGAAAAATCGAAGGGCAATTTTTGTAATTTCGGAAAATGTAAACTGTTCATGTTGAAATATACAATACATAATATATATATTATTGGTGTTAAACAGGTTTGTAGGGTCTCGTATACTATATACTATATAAGAATATTTCACTTCACGTTATCTCCCCTGTTCAATTCAATTCATTTTGCAAGCTAGACCCTTTCGCTTTGGTATATACATAATTTTGAGTTTCATATTTATGCTCTGAGAATTATATATAGATCGGACTATAAACACCGAATCTATCAAGAATGCCACAGCGTTCGCCCATCAAAGTGTGAGCGTGTGTGTGCCAGCTCGATGCGTGGTTCAGGGTTTAATAAGTTTAATAATGCTACACAAAATATATGTTGAATACTTTTCGGATAAACTTAAGAATCATTTGCTTGGATTAAGAAATATTTCCGTTTTTGATCACGTTTACTTGTCTCTCAACCACTGTCGCTGCTGCTGCGGCCTCAGCTGGAGTGAGGAGCACACAGAACCCGAATCCACACCCAAGCAAGCGGCCGTTCGATTAGCCAGCTGAGCGACGAGGCGGGTTCGAGATAACAAGTCGAACCGGTCCGATGGAGACATGCGAGTAGAAAGCCACAATCTGAATTTTAATAATGGCTGCACAAAAGGCAGCACGAAACGCGTTGACGTGCACATATTTTACGAGTTTTATACACAGGCAAGGGATTCTTGTTGTATCTGGCGGATGCACATGTAAAAAGCAGACAGGGTCAACATGTGACCAGAGAACAGACGGGCAGAGGGACACGCAGATAAACATTCCACTTGCTGCTGCCAGCAGAGAAAGGCAGAGGAGAAACGAATGAAGTCATCAAAAATGGCCACGAATCTCACCCTGCACCGGGTAGTGAAAGCGACACTCTCTCTCACCTGCGCCGTTTGCGTCGAGGCTTCATAATTATGGAATACACATGTCCTGCCCTTGTGTTGATCTGCTGATCGTCAACTGCGATGGCTGTCTGATGGCAGCAGGAGCTGCCACACGGACTGCTGCCCCCGATTCAACCAACCGATAAAGAACTAGCGGGTTGTTGGCTGCCTGTTTTTGTGTCCGTTTTATGGCTTCATAAGTGGAACTTGGCTGCTTTTCATGTTTCTCGCTGTCGCGCATGATTTTCCCTTTGTTCTGGCGAAAGTCGTAAACAATTTCGGCCAGCTAGAAGAGCGCGAGCAGGTTGCTCAGCCAGTCGTAACAGTCTTCAATTCTTCGTAGTTAATTTAAAAAACTCGACGAAACAATGGAAGCACAGCTGTAAATGTCAAGATTTTGAAATGCATCGCTTTATCGGAAGGAGCGGCTGCTGCCGAAACTGACTGTGGCGGTAATGGTGCACCTGACTGATTAGTGGCTCGGTCGAATCGGCCGCCCTTTGAACCAAGAGCCTGATTGGCAATTAGCCCAGTTGTCCGATTTCTCACGGCCATAAAAATTCACTTTATTTTGAAATGAATTTATGATTGGCTGCCACCCAAGCGGCATATCAAGCAGCACCCCACGACAAATCCACTCATCGGCGACTTTTTCAGCGAGTTTGTGATTTTTGGCAATTGATTTAATGTGTCATTCATAGATTTTTATTGCGTCATTTTATTGCCGTGCTTAACTTCCGATTTACCACAATTGGCCCGCTTGGACAGTGCCCCAGCCACGCCCAACCAGTGTCATTCTCACTCGCGTCCTCGTCCTGTGTGGCATCTTAACAGGGAAATCATGTACTCGCCGTACTTTACTTTATTTATTGCCATTTTTAATACCGCCCGATTCGCTTGCTGGACATTTTAACGCCCTGTACACTGCTACACTGCTATAGCTATTGCGGGGACAGACCAGGCGGAATGCCACGGAGTGAGTCGGGAACGGGGCCATGGAGCTTGGCCACTTTATGTTACAATAATGTTCCCTTGGCACTGCTGCCTGCAATCGAATTGTTTTGGCCATAAAATCAAAAGGTAATACGAGCAGCTGGGCTAGGCCCGAGCTTAAATCATGCTCAGACTGAAGTGGAGCTCGGCGCTACTATTTCATTACACACTATTTCTATATAATCCATCTTGTGCCCAATTAATTTATTCAAAAGTCATACCAAAATCTGCTCCTATTTATCGAACCAAAGCGCTAGTTTTAGAAAGACTTACCTAATCGAAGTTAAGGATCTAGTCTTCGTATTTGTATATTTGAAAACTGAAAGAAAGAAAAGAAAATATAAATAAGTAATTTAGTTACGATAGCCAGAAGCCAAATTAGCCCAACTTACATAATTAATGACTAATACTTCAAATGCAAACCTTGCCAATTTCATGTTATCGACTTTAAACAAATTTTCAAATATCTTTGTAAACATTGTAAACATATTTTTGAAACTTAATTCACTAATCGCAGAAAATTCACTATGCAAGATCTAATTGGGGATTCCAGTAAAGATGAAGAATTTGAATTTTATATTGAGTGCAATTTGGGTGGAAAAGTCAAAATGATCTTGTCCGGGCAAGGCGGTTATTCCCGCTAGTAAGTATAAAATAAAATAAAATGTATTGCATTATTATAAGTTGATAGATATAGATAATCGCATGTTTCAAGTGCAAGTGTAAGGCTAGGAAATATTAACAATATTAACCTTATGTGATAGAGTAAGTTTGCATTCTTATTTTTTACATCCCAACGGCCCTATAATTAAAGGTCTTTGCTCAAATTAATTTCCAAGGATCTTTAAGAAAATACACTTGAGACCTTTTTTACAATTTTTGTAGAATCCCAGTGTTCTCGGTTGAAAATGAAAATCAAATATGTTTGGTGGAAGTTTTAATAAGAACTTAATGAATTATGTTTCAGGAAATTTTGGCAAACATATTTTGTGGTCAGATCGGCTTGAAACTCATTTCAAAGATCTTGAAACCTTTATTTGCGATGCGTTTTACAATTTTCCATCCGTCCTTGGTAAAAAATAGTGGGCCAAAGGTTGTAAAGGCGAGGTTGTAAATTTCCATCGATCAGCTTTCAACTTGTATTCAAAGCTCAACATAAAATTATAATACGTGTTTAAGCGATTTTTGAAATATCACCCGTAACTGTGGAAATTTGGCGGAGAAGGGTTGCATTCACCTTTTTTGTAAACCTCATTTTGAAAGATCTTTGTGAAAATTAATATGAGAAGTATTTCGCAAAATTCATCCAATTTGGACACAAAATTCAGGGCAAAGGTCGAAGGTCAAGCGAAAGTTTATGTTTCGTGACGTGCAGTTCGCAATAGTGGGTAGATTTAAATTTTCCACGAGCCTCGACCGGGTAAAGCAAGGAAATATCAGCTGGTAGTAATATATATATATTAAGTTGACATAACCACAAATGCGGTTGCATAATTGAATAATTAATAACAACACTTATACTTATTAATTTAACATAACCACAAATGCTGTTGCATAATTTATTTTCATTTAGAATACAACTTAAATGAATTAGTTGCATTGAACTCACCGACTCGAGACGTTGATAAGGTTGCTCAATTATTAATACAAATCAATACAAATTATGGGCGGCCAACGTAATGTTTATTAAGATTGGAGCCCTCGTAAAACTAAAAATAAAACACACAATAACGAATTTAAGCGTCGTCAATTTGGTGCAGTTATCTACTTATTGTTGTTGTTTTATTGTGTTATTGTATCGTTTCATTAGGTCTTAAACATCATAATACATGAAGCACTGATTATATTGCCATTAGTCGCAGCGACCCGACTAGCGATAATACCTCTGACTATCGATATCAAGTTGTACGACATCATTTATGAGTGGCTAGGCACTCGCGCGCAGTCAAATCACGCACAACGGTCCCATCGATGGATGCTCGAAATTGGCCAAAACGGGAAATGGGAGCTTAAGGAACGCGCGATTGTGGAACGTTTATGAGGGGGATAGGGTTGGTTGGATTCGGAATCCAAATAGGGATTAACACAGACACTCGCACACAGGCCCCAAGGCAAGGGCCAAAACCAGACGATACACAGAAATTGAAATCCGCGACGCGCATGCGAGATAACGACTCCGAAATTGTTAGAGAGCAACTAACACTAAAAAAATTAAATTCAATATTTTTTGTTTAGACAAAAACTGAACTGAAACGAAAACCGAAAACTGGCGAACCGAATGCGAACGCGAGTGCCGCGAGAGCGAGTGTCGAGCCAGCCAAGAGACAAACGCCGAGCCCAAGTCAGCTCTCACGTCAAGTTAATGCAAAGATCTCACCGGGGGAACACACAGAGAAACACACAAAACATTTTTACATAGTGTTATTTTGGTTTTTATTGCCCTAACGATGGACGCTGAGGGTAAGGGGACACGGCCTGGGGCTGGGGCTGGGGCAGTCAGAGAGCGGCTGGCGAACCAGCGAACAAGTGTACATTTTAAAAGCAGAGCGCGATCTTGCGATCTTGGAAGCGACCAGCACTAGACATGGGGGCGGAGTGGAAATGAAAGCGAAATTCGGTTCAAACTCATATTAAAGCTCGCCGACAAAGTTCACAATATATATTTTTTCTTCATTTTATTTTATTTTAATTATAACATTTGTGCGCTGTGTGTTAGCTGTGCATGTGTATAGGTGCGTGTTGGCTTTGTGTGCGGTTATTCAAAAATAAACACGTACATATAGCACACTCATATATATATAAACATATATACATATATATATATATATACATATGTTATATATACAAACATGTTTGGTGTACACGGCTCCGTCGGAAGAAGATCTTCCCATGCCTCAACAAACGTTACGGATACTTGGCCACGCTCCAGACCCTTGTCCCTGTCGCCATTTCATAAAGTGTCGCAAGAAGAGTTGTATAGAAAAACAAATGAAAATCGAAGAGAACGTTGCCTAAAAATGCCGCCTTTCTAGGTCAGATATAATCATATTAAAATGGTAACGATGCAACGTGCGAGATCCGAAAAGCTAAGCTAAGACCACAGACTAAGACTAAGAATTGATCACAAAACTCATAGTCAATTGTTTATATTCTTTGTGGTAATTAGGTGTGAGATCGATCATTTTCCAAATCCAAAGAGGTGTGCTTTAATCAATCAATTTTTCAATCATAAATTATGAACCGAAACTAAACATTATTTTATTATATTTAATTTCATTTAATACACAGAAATGCCGTTTTTTCCTGCTTTTATGTTGACAGTCTAATTTTGGAAGATGTATGTCCTATAATTATATGTTTTTGAGATTTATGGGTAAATCAGTTTGCCTATTCTAGCAAGAGTCTGAGACCGAATTAAACAGGTTGTCGTAAGAAAAGCAACATAAATCTCAGCAGAAGCCATTATAGCAAAAGTAATTGTTGTTGTCGCTGTTGTAGTTGTTGTTGTTTTTGTTGTTACTGCTGCCGTTGTCGTTGCCGTTGGCATCCCTATGTGTTGGCAAACCCGTTTGGGCTGACAGCGCTGTGGTTGCCAATCAAACCTGTTCAGCATCAAGTGCAAAAAAAGCAGCTCTAAAATTGCAACTTAAACGAAAATCAAGTTAAGCTTTAATTAAAAACCTGGAAAACACAATTAAAACCCAGCCAGCAGCAGTAGCAGCAACAAAAACAACACATGCAATTAACAGCGGCTGAGGCGAGAGAAAAAATAAGTTTAGAAAAATCTTGCCAAAGTGTTGTGAGTAATTGGCCAACGGGGCCAAGCGGCGAGCCGGCAAGAGGGCAGCGAGGCAGCGAGGAAGGGACCAAAGCGCTAGCGGGGTATCGGAGCCGGGGCTGACTGTTTGCTAATGCTGTTGCCGTGGCTAGCGACGGCTGCTGGCCATGAACGAACATACACACATGCACATGCATAAGTACATACACACATAATTGTATACATACGGTGATCACCGGTGCGCACATCAACTGCCCCGCCCCGATCCTCGGAGCGTGGCCTTGAGGCGGGCCGATTGCGGCTGCTTTGTTACCTGACGCAAGCAAACAAGTTAAGCGGACTGCCTCCGCGAACAACCCTCCCTCCCACTTGCCTCCCAAGGGGGGTCGAAGGCAGCGTGGCAAGTAATAAGCGTGTTTCATAAATTGAAAGCTGCCGCCGCGGCAAAAGTTATGAAAACGGAGGAAAGCAAAAAAAAACCCATTTAGATTGCAATCTGGCGGCCAAACCGGCGAAACGAGCGGTGACCGTCCACTGGACGCCGCACTGGCCGTCACTGGCGAGTGGGAAAAGCGCTTGATTCGAAAATGGCCGTCAGCAGCAGCAGTACAAGTCGCCAGTCACTGCAAGTGGATGGAAGGCTGCGGGAAGTAGGAAGCGAAGCCGGTGGGCAAATGTACAAACACGAAACGAAACGAAACGAACGCGGCCATAAAACGCTTCAAATTTGCGGCTTTCAGCAACAAACAAAGCAAGAGCAAAGAAGCAGCACAACAACAACAACAACAACAACAAAAATCAAGTAATTATTTTTATTAAAGAAACAGCAACAAATACAACGAAACTGAAACACACACACATATATACACATACAAGCAAGCGATCTTTGTACCTTTGGCAGGCCAGAAAAACTGACTGGTGCAGGTTTAATTGGAGCTGGTCAAATTCGGAGAAAGGAGATGGAGGCCGGAACACAAATAAGTGAAATAAACCAGTTTTTCTGAGCTAAACTACTTGCCCCATAGTTGCCCGAATACAAACTTTACCAACTCAAGAATATTAACAACATTTGACAATCTTAAATATTTCAGGATTACAAAGAAACGCACAAGCGATGGTTGTAATAATACATCATATAAACAGTTGTTATTGTTTTATTGTTTATATGGCGAATATGATTTCTTGCCAGGCAGGCCCAATTATAAGACATTATATTGTGTTAGATTAAAATTATGATCGATATTTTAGAATTAAAAGTCTTTCAAATGCAGACCTATTCAGTAACAAGGAATAGTATCCAAAAACAAAGGTCATCATTATAGTCTCATCCCTTTGCTACAGTTAGAATGTAAAATGAAAATGTTATCCACATGTTTCAGTACTCCATTCGATTATCAACCCTTAGTATGAGCACAACCAATCGAATATGTGGTCCCATACCATTAGGCCATACCATAAAGCCTCAGGATAAGAGTAAAGTCATGTTAGTTGCAAGACAAAATCAATAGCAATCAGACAAATTCAGTTATCAACAAAAATGGCGGTGCCGCAAAAGAGCTGTCAAATTTTATGGCTGACTGGATTACAAAATGGTTAAACAAACATCGGGACTGCAGTCAGCGAAAGAAGAAACTTGTGCAAATATTTGAAGTATGCAACTGTAGCAACAAAGCCAGCAAAGGCATCCCGCCACTGACGGCCAAAGAGCTGCAGCTGAAAAGGAAGTTGAAATGAAAAGAGAGCAAAATAGTAATTTTCCATCCTCCATAAATAATGTTAAGCGCCACGGCTGAGGGAAAAACATGCACGGTCCATTAACTTTCTGCGGAGTGCGAAGTCGGGGGCACGGAACACGCTGCTTGCCACGCAGCAAGCAGCAAGCAGCGACGTCAACATCAATGCGGCCTCGACATCAGACCCACATGTGGGTCCCGAGAATGCGTGTGCATTTGTATTTGCAAGTGTATTTGTGCGTGTGTGTGCGTGTGTGACAGACATTTCAAAAGCTACGCGAAATTTGTACCCCAGAAAAAAACAAAGCCCCAGAGATACAAAACATAGTTAAAAACTTGACTTTTTAAATGCGATTTGCAGCTCACTTTAGCAGCCTCGACTTGTTGTGTGTGTTTGTGTGTGTGTGTGTGTGTGTGTGCTTGTGTGTGTGACCGCAAAGGTTCACCTGAGGTCCGGCACTTAAGTGAAGTTGAATGTGGCAAATGTTTCTGCTCTGTCGGAGGCCGCCGAGTAATTGTCTTAATTTTTAATATTATTTTAATTATTTCTTTTCGCTTGCACGCTCAGATGTCATGCTGAGCTTTGCATTTAATTCCTAAGAGCTTATAAATTTAACTGTGCGGCGATTAAGCCGGCGGGGAAATGCATTCAGCTACTAATGCGCAACGTCGTTAAGCCGCACCTCTGTCTCTGCTGTGACTCAGTTGGAGGCTGATTGAAATAGCTCAAAAGGTTAAAACGTTTGGGCTGCCTTGTTCGCCGTAACTGAGGATAAGGGCCTGGCTTAAGCTTTGTAAAAAACACATGCTTATTATGTGCATTAAACGTTGTGTCAAATTGGATGGTTTTATGTATTATAATGTAGTTTTGGCTTATTGTTAGATTATTGTTATATGAATATGTCCACTCAATCATAATTGAATCAAATTAAAACAGTATTTTTCCCAATCATTAAATCAAATATAAAAATAACCCTTTTAATGTCTTGAACTACACTTACAACTCAAGACAGTTGTATACTCAATACAAATTGAACAAGAAAATAAAAAAGGTATTATAATTTGTGTAAATGTCACCAGGCAGAAGAAGACGTCTTTGACTTCATAGAGAATATACAAAAATGTTTGATCAGCATCAATAGCCGATTCGCTCTGGCATTGGCCGTCCGTCTGTCTCGCTTTATATATGAACGCGTCTATCAGCTAGAGAGGCAAATTTCGCTATCAGTTTTCTTTCTGGAAAATCTCATAAGGATCAGTTACAAAACATTCAACACGAACGCATTTTCCATAATGTGAGGCTAAGAACATAAGACCAGTCGCACTTTTAATTCTTTCTATTCATTTTTGAGAACATGTGCAACACGATAAAACAATTATTTAAAATACTAAAAACTAACCATCTGTCATGTATTCAAATCAAAGTATATGATATTCCATATTAACCTACATCTGTAAAAATAACCTTTTATCAATGTTGCATCCGTTGGAAGTACATGAAGAGAAATATACATGCATACATATGTGTATATTGTATGTTCATAAATGATAGGTGCAGCAGCTGCAACAAGCACAAAAACAAAAACAAAAACAAAAAACAAAAAAAAAGTAATTCAATGGCTGCGTATCTGCCGCCGTCGCAATGACAAACTCAACACAACCAGCAA